GATTTCTGTACTAGTGTACGGATTCTTGTCGGCTGTTGGCTTGCTGTTGCGAGAAGTTGTTGCTTGCCCGATTGTGGTTGATTTCAATGAGGGAGAGCTCCAAAATCTCGTTCGTGCAAATCAAGAGGTTCAGTCGATCGGCCGATAGAGGTACGTGTACGACTCGGAGGATTGGCTGGCTTCGCGTGGGAGTGGACTAGGACGTTGTTCTTGTTGTCGAGAATGGACTGAGCAGAAAGTAATTTGCTATGGCTGAGCAAAGGATTATCAGCTCGATGTCTTCTGAGCAAACAGAATGAATTCCTTGTCTTCTGATTCGGTCGTTCGTCTTGGAATGCCTGCTAGGATGCTCGTTGCGACTGACAGATGCAGTTCCTATTCTATTCCTATGGACAGGAGTTAGATCGGGGACTATTTCTTGGAGTGGCAAACAGCGTCTCGATGGGCGAAACAAGACAACTCGATACTTCGAATTTTCCTGTTGGTGTTTGTGGTCTTGATGTTGATGGGTGATTGGCGTTTTGGATAATGACTCCTCAGTAGAAACAGTACCAGGGTATACGTGGGATGACTGGAATTCTCTGGAATGGCAATCACGTGCGTGGAATTGGTGGCTGAGGATATCTGTTGATCCAGAGCTCCGATTTGAGTGCTTCCAAGGGGGCGGAAACTTGCTTGTAATAGTGTAATAGATAGCTTTATAATGATGGTGTTGCTTATAGTGTCTTTGTTGTTGTTGTTGTTTATCTTTGTTATCATCTTGGTTGACAGAATCAGTGGCGGGAGTCCTGTGAGTTGGCTCCCGCTTGAAAAAGTAAGAAGGAACATCTGTTCCCTTGCCAAGTCACGATCTCTACTCTTTGGTCTATTCTATTGCAAAGTTGGTTGCTCCTGGGTTTAATGCTAAGGCCATCAAACCAGTGTTCATGGATTCCTTTGCTGCAGCAGAGAAACTGAATTATGCTGGTGTCAGTCAGAGTCTGCAGTCATTTATTTCTATTCTAATAAGGCAGAGTGGTCCACGGGTCGCCACTGACACGCCAGTCCCTAGTCAAAACGTCAAAACACAATGCCGTTACGACAGTTATAAAGCAAGATAATAAAAGCTTATTGGCCGTGCTGTATCTGTATGTGGATCTTTCCGCTCCTGTGCTGGGGCTGAAGTTTTGACTGTCCGTTGCGATCGAGTGGTCGTCACTTTTCGCTGTGACTTCAAGGCTACTAAACAAGCCAGCAGAGACAATAAAACCATGTTACAGAATCGGTGTCATTGGGATCTTGGGTGTCTCAGGAGGTGATTTGAAGGGAGCGAAGAAACAAATATTCCACTTGTGTCCCTCTTCATCCTTTCGTCTGTGGCTTATTGCACTTGTTATGACAATCTCATTGTAAATGGGCAGGAGACCATTCGCCGTTTGGGAGCGGGTGACCCGCATTCGATATTTGGTTTTAAGAAAATTCTAGACTCTTAATCTGAGATTACGATCGGGCTAGCTGCCGTACCGGAACCGCTATGATAGTTCTGCACTACGAAGTGCTCTACAAAGATGATGCTTTTTTAATTGAATCCAAAGTGAGCGTGAACAGAATTGGGAGTGTCTTTGGGAGGTTTTTGGCTAGCATGCTGTCGGGGTTTTCAATCCTTCACAATAGGGGCTTTCATGAGGTAAGCGAGTGAGATGCGCATAGGTGGATTTGGGAGCTCCTCTACTAGAGTGTTCATTGCTTTCTCTGCTTGAAGCGAGAGTTGGCATTGCCATGCAGCCAAATCGTTTGGATCTTGGGGGGGGGGGGGACTTGGATAACTGTCGCAGAAGTAGAGCATTACCTTGATTGCCTTCGCTCTTGAGTCGTTTATACCTGTTTATGATTGGAATCCTCTCGCTTCGAAGCTTCTTCTTGAACTCACTGCTGTTCAACTCGAGTTGATAGCCTTCCAAACACTGGTCTGTGAAGTATCGGATGAACATATCCTTGAGCGAAAAGTCATTTCTCCATCGCTTCTGGCTGTCTGAAAAGTACATGACGTTCGCGGGAGGTGGGGGTGATGCCTTCTTGGTTTGTTTGTCAAACTTGATTTCAAGTGCCTCTAGGAGTCTATCGACTTTCTTTTCCAAGCGTTGATTGCTGCTTTCCAAGCGGTTGTTGCTGCAGGTAAGGTGGGCGACATCAAGGCGGAGTCGGGAGACGTCATCTTCGAGGTTCATCTTCCGAGCAAATAGGGAGTTGTAGGAGTTGCAAAGACTGTTGTAGCGATCAAACAAAAATCAGGGATCGATTTTTGTGTCTGTATTGCATCTGCTGATAGAAGGTCAATGGGTAAGGCCATGAAGTTGTTGGTACCGAAACCGTCTCGGACTTCTTTACACCAAAGGTTAATATGTCATAGGGAACCTTGCAAGGCATAAAGCCTTGTTCACGGCATGGACAAAGGCGTGGCGTGAATTGTCTTCATAGAACCCATCTGGGTGTTGCTCAATAATGTAGATGAACTCATCGTAGTGCCTGAGTGTTGCAGTGGGTATGTTCCTGATGCTGGTGGGCCATCGTTCTTCGATGTCTTCACTGAATAGAGCCAGGATGAAACCGTTCACCAACTCTGGACTGCTTCGAATGGATGTCAATGTTGGAGCAATGCCTCCGATGATTTCGTTGTCTTGTCATCTTGTCCAGCCACTTAAAGCTTTGCCTGCTTGGTTCGTTAGAGTCTTTGAACCAATGGCATAGTCGAAGAGGGTGTGCACTCCTCGTAGTTCCCAACCGGTGCAAAAGACCTGTGCTAGTCCACTGAGTGAATTGGTTTCAGCCAACTTCTGATTTGCACCTTTCCTTCCATGGTAGCAGGTTAGTTTGTCACTGACAGTCTCTGATAGGGACTTGAATTCCTTGTAGAGGGTGTTGAAACATTGTGTCCAAACTGAAGTGACACGGGATGCTGTCTTGTCGTTCTTGTTGGTGATTGTCGCTTCGCGGTTGAACTTGGGAAAGAGGTGGGGTTTGTCACAGCAATTGACTAGCAGAGAGTAAATCAATCCAAAGTAGGGGTCATCTTGGAGGGTGTCTCTGTGTGCATAGAGGTTCAGCTCCTGTAAAGGACCTTCTTTGTCATGTTGAAGGGACGCTGAGATCACGTGGCTGATGATTGTGAAAGTTTTCCACAATGTCCACAACACTGAGGTCTTCTGGTTTCAGTATGGAGACTTCACGGCCTCTTCCAATCAAGTGGTAGACGCAGACATTGAGTGTGTGGAATTCAGCTGCCTCAGCTGTTCCGAGCCAGAAACAAGCATTTGCTACCGCCTTCCTGTCATCATCAGTCGATGCGACCTTTGGAGTTGTGATGCGTTGACCGGTTCGCCTTGCCCTTTCCTTGAATTTGGTGAGGAGTAGATTGCGAAGCTTTCTCCAGCTAGGGTCACAGAAGACCAAGCAGGGTTGTTTGTCCCAGAACCTGTTGAGAAGTAAGCTTTAATTGCACTGGCATACCCTGTTGCAGAGTCATAAGCAATGGGGCATTTCTTTTCATTGAGGTAGCTACTTGTAGGCGTTGAAGGCTAGGTAGTTGAAGAAGTCTCCGATGAGGTCACTCCACCACTTCTCATGGTTGAGGTCATGGACTCCTTCCAATCCCTTGTAGGGAATTTGCTCAGCCTGAGTGATTGGGTCAAAACCAATGTGACTGTTGTAACCTTTCTCATCACAGTATCCTTTGAGGAAGAAATTGAACTGTTTGATGGCTGCTGAAGTCTTGTTGCTTTCACAGTTGTTATCCCTCAGGTCAATGAAGCTGGACGAGCCCAGTTCCTCATCTTTGGCTGTGGTGATGACGGAGAGACTTAGGTTGGTAGGATTGGGGTCCATCGTAGACTTTGTGGACGACTTTGTCGAGTTGTGAGGTTTTTTTTAGGGATGTCGAGGATTTTGTGTTGATAATGGCCTGTGAGCCTGTCACGGTTGCTTTAACTTCATTCCAACCGAGGGTGTGACTGAGTCGTTAGAGTAATTAGAGCTAAATTAATCGTTTAGGGGATATTTAGGGATCTACCGAGGGCATGGTCGCGAATACCTTCGTGTTTTTTTTTGTACTTTGCAGAGTGGCTTGTTTTGCCTCAGAGAAAGACACGAAACGTGCCGCAGAGGGTTGGATTTAATGGTTCCGCTGGCTTATTAATTAGAGATCTCCAGCGTGACCATGACAACGACAGGTTGGGCTGTTGGGCTTGATGGAAAGTATCGTATCGATAGCATTGGAGTCCTCTGTCCTCGCACTCTCTCTTGTATCTATCTCTCACCATGACGAGCCGCTCGGTTAGCTTTGGCGACGTGGAGGAACAGTACTACGACGGTGGTTACGACGAAGAGTACAATGCAGATGACTACTTTCAAGAAGGTGCGGAAGGCGCCGACGGAGCGAACCCAGAAGGAGAAGAAGAGCAGCCCAACAACAAAAAGGGACGATCCTCTTCTGCGTCTCAATCTTCCATCATGTGTCCCAATTGTGGCTCTAGGAACATTGATTCGGATCCAGCATCAGGAGCTTCTGTCTGTACGGAATGTGGTGTCGTCGTGGAAGAATCTGCCATTGTGTCGAGTGTCGAATTCGTCGAAGGCGCCGGTGGATCTAGTAGTATGGTGGGGCAATTTGTTTCCGCCAATTCCAGCAAGGCATTCACAGCGGGGGGTGGAGGTCGCTATGGATACAGCAAGGACTCGAGAGAAAACACACTGGCAAATGGACGTCGACGGATTCAAGAAGTTGCCAGTCGATTGCGGCTCGGCAATCATTTTGTGGATGCGGCACATCGACTGTTTACCGTGGCCGTGGAAAAGAACTTTGTGCAGGGTCGAAGAACCATCATTGTCGTAGCCAGCTGCCTGTACATTGCTTGTCGACAGGAAAAATCACAGCACATGCTCATTGATTTCAGTGACGCGCTGCAAGTCAATGTCTACACCATTGGAACAACCTTTCTCAAGTTTCGACGCCTGCTGGGATTGAAATTGGAAATTATTGATCCGGCACTCTATGTCTACCGATTTGCGGCACATTTGGATCTAGATGAAAAAGCCAATGCGGTCGCCATGACGGCATTGAGACTGGTGGCACGCATGAAACGAGATTGGATCGTCACGGGTCGCAGACCCGCTGGAATTTGTGCTGCCGCGTTGCTCATTGCGGCGCGGACACATGGCTTTTCACGGCATCATCAGGATGTGACACGAATCTTGCGAGTCTGTGGATTGACAGTCAACACGCGAGTGAGGGAATTTGAGAATACACAAACAGCAACATTGACCCTGACGCAATTCAACAATGTCGAGTTCGAGACGGAGGCAGACCCACCAATCTACACCAAGAACAAAGTCCTAGAAGCAAGGGCAAAGGCCATTCAAGAGAATAACGTTGAACTCTTGACCAGTGGGGCGCTCGATGATCCGTTGGGAGGGAAACATGCTGCCAAGTGGAGAGATCCGAAACGACGGCTAAAGGCAGTCAAAAACAAGGAGCTATACAAATCGATCGAGGAAGCCCTGGCTGCTGAGAACGATGGGGAACAGCCAATGCTGCTAGAGAATGGCACTGGCGAAAGCAGCAACGACAACAACAATGATTCTGATGGAAAAGCGGCTGCCAGCGGAGCGGCCGAGAAGAATGACGATGAACCGCAAGAGAGCTCGGACAAGAATGACAAGACGACCGAAGAGGAGAGCAATGATGCAGTATCCAAGCAGAAGTCTACAGAGGAAGATGACGAGGACGATGGTGGTGGAAAACCATCACCTGCTGAAAAAGAACAGCAGCAAAAAAAGCAACAACAGCTAATTGTACATCCCAACTCAAACAGTGACAAGCAGGTGGGTTTAGCTGCCAACGAAGAATGGTCCTCTGTTTATCCTCGGGGCCGACACGGTAGACAAATCGTTTTGGCTGATGAGGCAACACTCGAAGAAATGCAAAAGCCTACCGCTCCAGTGGAAGCACAGCTTAGCCTAAGTAAGTGGAAGGAGGAACTTCCGGAATCAATCAGCGACGAAATCGAGAGCATGTTTCGAAGTGATGAAGAGGTGGCCCAGAAGGAGGTGATCTTCAATAAAATCAACAAGGAGTATATTGAACAGCAAGAACGCAAAGAGAACGACCGGCTCAACTCGGAAGCTAACTTCAAAGGACGAGAAGATGATGAAGCCGCTCAGGCAGAAGGACATGCTCGCTACATGAAGTCCAACCGTGGTAGAAAGAAGAAACGCTCTGGTGGGGATGAGCTCACAACGGAGGAAGCGCTGTTGGAAGCGGTCTCAAATCGCAAGATTAGTCGCAAGATCAACTATGATGCAATGAGTGCCGTCTTTGATGATGACGGGACGTTTGCCACGGATACTTCACAGGGAACGGACGAGCAAGAGCTGCAACTTGGTGAATTGTAATGTAATAACAATGGTTTGGGGATTTATCTGGCAGCTGCCGAAGATTTCTTCGATGTCTTTTCTCTACCGGCTTTCCATCATGAAACTTCAGGTTTAGGTTTATCCAGTGGCATCGAGTGCTACGGGGCGCCGCTTGCTGTGAAGCCAACCTTGAGTTCATCTGGTGCAGCCGTGCAATGCTACGGCTTATTCGATGCCGAGGAGGATCGCAGAGCTGGCACGATGCGCCTCACAGCCATGATCCACAAGGGGGGTCTAGCCAGCGTCGGGGCACAGTACGAATCGATAAAATAAATCGGGAAGACATCCGTTTTGTGATCTGGGTGTACCTTATTGTGATCTTGTTCTTGATACTGACGGAGCGACAGGGAGACGCAAGAGAAACCGCAAGTTTTGTGGATTGTGCAAACCTTCGTCATCCCACAGCGAAACTACCATACTCGAAGGCAAAAAGCTAATGCAACCGAGCTAATTTATAATTTTCTGAATGAACCTTATCCTTTTTATTTCTATGTATCATTCACGTTGTGTGATAAAATTAATATATCAGCTTGCTTCTTCTTTCCTATTAACTTTGCATCGTATGGGTATGCAAAAGTAAGCAAGCCGTCAACATACTTTTTGTTGTTTCTTCTTGTAAATACGCAATAAACTCCCTCCCGCAAAAACAGACAACACAACCATATACTAATACTGCGGCGCTCTTTTTCTGTTTGCGTCTTACGCAGCTCTTGCTTGCTTGATTGGTGGCGTCTTAGGCTGTTCGTGCTCCTGGGAAGTTCTTCCTGGGAGGGGCACTGGGGAGCTGTGTTTCGTTCGATCCAAAGCCACGGAATTGCATGCCCGTGAGGTCCAAAGGCAAGGTGGTGGGTCCCTTGAGAAGCTCGGCTTCCTTTTGCAGAAGCAGAGCCGCCGCCCATTGACTGGTCTGGCTGTGTGGTGAGTTGTGACTGGGGTGATGGTGCGTTCCGTAAGATGCCAAGCGCTGCGAGCGCAAGGCCGAAACGGCAAATGCCTGTCGCGACAAGGTAACGGCGTTGATGCGTTCCTTGAGGCGCCGATTGACTTCGCGCTCAATGGCGGCATTCAAGCGTTCGGCTTCCAAGGCGGCCGCCGCCGAAGCAGCAACAGGTGCGGATGGAAGCGACGAAGGTGGCAGCGACGCAGGCGGCAAGGACGCAATGGATGGTGTCATGGGCATTTTGAGGTCTCCGGCGGTCATTGCGGGTGCCTGCTTGGGCATGGGCCTGACCGCCATGGGCTTGACGACCGCTACAGCCGGACGTGGAACCTCCGTCTTGGGGGCAGATGCCGGCGCAACGTCCCACATGGCCATGGCGCTCTTGGATGGTTCCGCCTTGTGGCAAGTCATTTCCTCGACGAGATCCAAGCGACCGCGCTGAAAGTCCTTGTGGTAGAAAGCACCCGCCTCATCACCGCGGTAGTGTCTCATGAATCCCCATCGGTGCAACTTGCGTGTGAACGAAGAGTACTTGGCCGTCTTGAAATGGTGGGGCAGAATTTCCGCCACAAAGGCCTTGGGCTTCAAAATATTGAACGATTTGCCCGAGGGCATCCAAGTAATGATATGAGCGTTATTCTTGTCTGACAATACCTTCATTAACTGAGAGATAATAGAAGATAATAGCATTAACAAGAGAGATAATAGCAAAGATAATAGCGTGTAAGAGATGGGTATCAAAAGGGCATATACCCCATTTAAGAGGGTAGAATTCTTCCCGCCACGGCAACCTGCGGCCGGTGCAATTGAGGAACATACCTTGATAGTGAAGGGAACAGCGCGTTTACGGCCGCTCTTGGTGAATCTCTGAGGGATGTGGAACTCCATGTTGCTCTCCGCGGCGTCGTTGTTGTTCTTGTTGTTGTTAGCCTGACTACCTTCCCCATTATCAATGGCTAACCCAGCAAGCGCGGACGCTGCGTTGAAATCACGAATGTCCTCGTTTCTGCTACTGATATTGACCGACATGATGGCTTCTCTTCCTATCTATCTATCTTTCTTCTATGGATCTACTAACGAGGGATAGATTGTTGTTGTGCGTTGCGCTGGGCTTTGTTGTTGTAGTAGAGTAGTTACCTGGTAGTTGATATCAACGATCAATTGCTCGAGCGCTGTTGGGTTTATGCAAGTTGCTCTGCTGCTTGGGCTGCTGCGGTTTCACGAGTAGCCGTGCGGAGGTGCACGCTGGTACACATATGCCAAGACCAGCGGACCGGTTGGCGTGATTGGGGTCGCACCGGAACACGTTGGGCTCTACTTTCCCACGGTGTTGTTCCCTTGAGTTCCTACAATTGCGTCAATCGCCGGCAATAAGTTTTGCTATCATGGATATGCCTCACTTTCCCCTTCTTTTTGGGAAGCATCAGCCAAAAATGAAACATGCTGTTTTACTATCACGGCTTAGTACAGAAGGAAGAGCAGAGAATGAGAAAATGTCCAACGCAAAAAGGGGATTTAAGGGAGGCTTTCGCGAACCGAAGGCTCTCATGACCTTGTGTGGCCAGTGTCGACAGCTGTTTTTTAGTACGGATACTGCCAGTAAAATAGCTTACGTGGCATTTAGATAAAACAACGAGGACGGAAGCCTTATTAAATACTGTAGTCACAAGTACTTTTCAAGCAAACCTCGACACTTATTTAGTGATATTCTAGTAGAAACGACATGTAAATCTCTGATTCTCTGGTTGAAATGGTTGATTTGAAAAGGGTAATCGACATTAATTGACGTTCTAGTGGCGGTCGCGGTCGGGTCACAGTTTCAAACCAGTAAGTGTCACCTAGTCACCTTTGAAGGAGGAAGGGAGTTGAGGTCAATAAAGTCATTACTTCATTCCAATATTTCTCCCAAAGCTGTATCTGTCCCGCAAAGATTTGAAAGGGCAAAATTCTTTCACAGCATGTGAACAAAGACATAAACATTTCGTTCAGAAAAGCCACTTTGACGAGGCATTAACCCCTTTCTAATCGTCAATACCAGTGACATTCGCGCAGATTTTTGTCGGTTGAAACAAGGAGGCACACCGTGGAAAGTGAGCAATCTAACAATCTAAGCTGGGGGGACTAATGATAAAACGGCTTGAACCCCTTCAAAACGATCCGAAGAGTTGAAGGAAGACCACTGCCCTTCCAGCCTTCAACCTACAACACAAAGACTCGACTCTGGTTTGACTCGTCGACTCCGCATCGCCCCACCTGCCACCTTCCTGTGTAAGCAAAGACAGCCATGGGTTCGAGTTGAGTTTGCTGCTGGGGGTGCCGGGATGAATTAGTCAACGCGGCACCTCCAAATTTCCTACGAAAGATTTGTATTCGCATTGCCCTTCAAGTGAGGTGGCTTGGATTGATTGGGAGCGGCCACCACATCAACCCGAGTTAACTTAAGAATTACAAAGTGCCCGGAGGGATTAAAAGTTATAAACCCGAAGGTATGGGAAATGAGAGGATCCAATGTCATAGATTCATTGCAAAAAGTGGTGACTGGACGACATGTAGCTACCAGCCAGGTACCAGGTATCCCTTACGTTGCTGTATCGTATCTAGCTAGCTGCCTAGTGGGGAGGGTTGAAGTTAGTCCTCCTTTGAAGAGGCGAGACTACTAGTCAGGTCGAGTGTGGTGTGAGACATGATGAGAGATGAGGAGAGCGAGATGAGAGATACACCCCTGCTAGAGCCAGCCGAGTACAGTCGTAGCCCTTTTTCAATATGCATACATGTACATGCAGAAGCATTGCTCGTCTTCCATCTACTCTAGCGGCTAGCTGGCTGACAATTAGTTGTAACGAACGTATCAAGCACCTTGACGTTATGGGCATCATGGGTGCTCCGTGTACTTGTACCGTACGGTATGTATTATGGTACAGTACGCTACGCCTCTGTACGGTACGGGTATGTGATACCGTATACCGTACGGTACAGTCGGTTGAACTCAAGCGTGAAAGGAAATAATGTAGTACAATGACTGATGACTTTTGATACTTTAAAATCACTGGTTATGAATTTGGTTCAGATGACCGGATTAATGTCTTTAAAAATACTGAGCTCATTTTTTAAAACGCGGCCATGCTCTTTCAGCGATGAAACTAGCTAGATTTCAACTCCAGCAATGTGCCTCTCTTCATCAGTTGCATGCATGTTAGCGATAGATCACCATGTCACATTCTATGGTAATTAGCTGCCAGGCGGCTACATGTACCTATGCATACCGGTACCTGGTAGCCAGAGTGCAACGTTGGTGGCACAGGTCGGACCATGGCGTAGATGGATCCATCAACCCAGTGGTTCGTACTGCTAGCTCCAAGGTTTCCGGTTGTCGCATTCAGAAGTAACCATGAATAGCAGACGGTACTCTCAGAGGATAAGAGCACAATGGACTGCCTTGATTGTCATTATCCTGGCTCTGGTGCAGCAGCAATGTCATGCGATGCAAGGAAATGATACTACCGTTGCCGACGGGCCAACATTTACGGCACGGTCACGGCGGCGTCTACCTAGCTCTCGCATTGTGGGCGGCAACGAAGTGAAAGTGGGAACATATCCGTTCTTTGGGTTTTGGTATGGCGGGGACTGCGGTACCACGTTGGTCCATAGAGACATGTTTTTGACGGCTGCTCACTGCGTCAGCCTGCTGGGGGTTGGTTTGGGAGAAGTGGTGCTCCACACGCTGAAACAACCCAACACCTATACCGTAGAATCCATCCATGTGCACCCAGACTACAATGAAAATGTGGAAGAACCAAAATGGGACTTCGCCTTGCTAAGAGTCCGTCAGTCGGTACCCCCTTCCGTGGCCACACCGATACCCATCAATGTGGATCCCCATTTTTTGACAACCGGGGAAGAATCCGCCATGCTGACTGCCATGGGATATGGAGCTCGCTTTGAAGGATCTCCAAGTTGGAGTGACACCCTTCAAGAAGTGACTTCGGCCTACATTCCAACCTTTCCGAATTGTCAGCGGACCTACAGCAATACGATCACAGATGCTGAAATATGTGTCGGCAATTTCTTTGAAGGAGGACAAGATGCTTGTCAAGGTGACTCCGGTGGTCCCTTGGTTTGGTTCGCTGACAAAGCTGTGGACAAATTCAACAAGCCTACACCCTCTGATCAACCTGCAGTACTCATTGGAGTTGTTAGTTGGGGAGAAGGTACGATACGAAATTCAAAAGACGGAACTCTTCGTAATTCCGGACGTTTGGTCCTCACAATACATTGCTCAATTATACTATTTTCCAGGGTGCGCAAGGCCTGCATTACCAGGAGTCTATGCGCGAGTATCGGCTGCGGCTGATTGGATCCATTCAACAATCTGCTTCCATTCGAAACTGCCACCCGTCAATGGAATTTGTAAAACAACCAGGATACCCCTGCCCATTACATTGCAGCTTCAAATTGAATACGACGTCAATGCCGGTCCTGTCAGTTGGGGTCTCTATTACATTAATGCAGCTGAAACAATCTACCAGCAGAGCCTGGGTGAAGGTGATTCACCACCTGGAACCCTGGCGAGATTGAGTACGCTTGTGCAGTCTGAATACACTCAAGATATCACATCCCTCACACTACAATTCTCAGAACTCAAGCCAGGAAGCTACTACTTCCAAATTCGCGATATATCCGAAAGTGGAGTCAAACTGGTGAAGCTCACAGAGTTGGGAGAAGTGCCACGGGTCTGGATTGACCTAGAGGGCTCTTTTGGAGGCTTTTACTCGATCCATTTTGATGTAGTCACAAAGTATATCACTCTCACAGAACTCATTGAGGAATTGAATGCGGATGATCCCACAGAACAACCAACAGCAAACGGCACACAACCACCATCGATAACGAACGGAACGGAATCACCAGCCCGCATCCCCGCGAATTCATCAGCGACCGACCGCTCAGATGAAGCTGCTCAATCTGCTATTCGCACTCAAAACATCACGGTTGAAATCCTTTACGATAAACGTGCTGCAGATACATCGTGGATGCTGGCTTCGCCAAAACAGCCAGATGTCATATCGATTGCTGAAGCCCCCGCTCGGAAAGTGATTCACTACTCACCTCGATTCAGTTACTTCGGGCAGCACTTGATATCCAGAACGTTTGAGGTGGAGGCTCCTGGCATATACGAGCTTAACGTGTGGGATGCCGGTGGCAATGGCTTTTCCGATGGAAGTGGATGGGTGGTCGTCTGGGTTGGCAATCGTCTGATTTTTGGAAACGACGGTGATTTCGGAAGGAAACTACAAATGCCGATCAAAGTCCTCTGATGCTTTAAGGCATTCTGATGTTGATACGGTGTTGGTGGCTGGCACAAAGTAATCACAGAACAAACTGTAATGGAATGCGAGGACAAACCCATATGGAAGCTCCGACAGGATGGCAGTCAGTGGCAAACGATTGGCAAACGATAGGTAGGCGATGTTCACTTTTGGAACGGCTGGAACGAATATTGGCACTAAGAAACAAGCATAGCACTGGGTGTCCATTGCGGCGCTGCCCGAGCCTATCGCTGGAACCGCAAACAGCTTGCTTGCAAGGAATTCATATGCTTCATAATCTAGCTAGAATCTATGACTACAGCAGGCAAACTGTGAATCCATGTTTGTTGTGCACGCAGAAAATTCTCCCTGTTGGGCCGTTCCTAGCTGAGTGTGCTGATCATTCACATTGACGTACCGTTCGCCACTTTTCAGGGTTCGCAAATTGGAATGTATTGCGGTCACCACCGCAGACCATGGACCAAAAACAGAAACGCCTACTTCAATTCGTCGTTCCTTGACAGAGAATCGCAGCTCAAGCTTTCGAACTAGCAAGGTCGCTTGAAGAATGCAATAGAGGGAGAATCTGCTTCCCAAAAGAGGTCTTCTCAGTGCTTTTTATCTTTATCAATTGCAGCAAAAAGTGAGTATTCTAAATATAATTTACTGGGATTGACAGAGACAAGCCTTCAGGCTGGAGTTCTGGTGCCGAGTGGCACGAGGCAACAGAACTGTGGCTTGATGGGTTGACTCTGTGGTACTATTTCTATGGATTATATCGATTGCATTCACACACACCATTGGTGTTAAACATCAATGGTTGTTGGCACTTTTTCGCCCATTGAGGGCTCATCAGTACTGCTCACTGGGGTTGCATGGTGAACCGGTGGAACCGTGGTTTGTGACGGCATGTATTAAATAGTTCTTCACATCTGTTGAGAAGTGTAGAAGGTTTGTTTCTCATACGTTTGAGATGTGAAGCCGTTCTTGATTACATAGAATGCAGTCATTTGTCCGAACGTTTTGACTGTGGACAAGGGGTTGCCCTGCCACAGTATTTTGAGGTTGTAGAGTTTCCGAATGTCAGATGCTGTGGGGTGCTCCTGTGGTGGTTGCCACTGCTTTGGCAGCAAAGTGCCAAGCAAAGGTGTCGAGTTCTTGGGTTTGTGTTTTTTGCCGCGTAGGAATTGGCATAGGCGTTTTGTTCACTGACATGTGATGACATTCTGAGCTTGAGAAGTTTTGTGTGGCCGATGTAGGAGTTGCGGAGGATTGGGTGCTTGTTGCTTCATAGATGACAATGGGTTTTCTGCAGTGGTTGTTGTAGGCACATCCATCTGTCAAACGGTTGTGCAGTTGCATGGGCGGGTTGTAAAGTCAAGGGAGACAATTCCAGTATTGAGCTTGGTCATAAGGTCTCCATTGAAAATTTCTCGCAGGTTGGTGAATCTGTGGTATGACATTGCAGGTCTAATCCATTTGAGGGTTGGATACTTGTTTTGGATGAGGTTCTGAATCACTTTCCAAATGGGAGTTGTCCAAGCTTTGGAGTAGCCAATGCAAAAGTATGTTGTTCTTCTAGCATCTCGTTTCTTTTGTTGGAGTTGCCGGTTTGTTGGAGATTTGGGTTTGAAGATGTGGTTGGCTTCTCGAAGGGTGGGAATCTTTGGCATTGTGTGCTTGTTGATGAGGTTGGCATGTTTCAAAGCTGCAAAGTGGTCAGGGTACAGATCTTGAAGTGATGTATCTGCATTATCTTCTGTGACTGTAGTGAGCTTTGCTAACCTGGGACACACTCCTCTGGAATGGAATCGAAGCAGGTTGATGTGTGGAGCTGCCTTTGTTGAGGTAAAGGAGTTGTTGGTTGGGTTTCAGGTGAACTTTCAATTGGAGATTCTGTTGATTTTGCCAATACAGATCCAGATCTAGGTATGGGAAGTGTGTTGCTGTGTTGACTTGTACTGGTGCTTTTTTGTCGATGATTGGATGAGTAATTGGTTGAGTATCACTAGCTGCCCAGATTTCCATTGTGAATTGTAGGTAATCACCTTCGGCAATCTGGTTGATTCGATCTTGGAAGGTATTGCGCATGTTAGTAGTTCATCATAGGAGCGTTTGCCTAGGAATACCAGGAACCCATCATCTCGATACAAACCTTCATAGATGGTGTCTTCAAAGCATTCCTCAGTTTCTTCAAGAGCATAAGCACCAGTAAGATCGGCAAGCCATGCAGATTCATGTCCTCCAATGTCAGACCTCGTTCAGCTGGGTTTTGGTCACCATCATATTATAATAACGGTCTTGGAAAACCAAATAAGTGGATTGCATGCCAAATTGATCATTTCCATGCATAGTGCAATTGTGTCTTTGACTGATTGTGGCAAGTGTTTGGAGAAGTGTTTCACTGCCTTTTCCACTAACTTGTATCGGACCGAAGGATAGAATGCTTCACGTCAAGTGAAACGATGGTACAATTGTTAGATTGAGATTGAGGGTTTCTAATTTGGTTTTCAGTCTACTGATTGGATGATGGTTTTAGACCTGTAATCGATGTTGTGTTCTTCAAAGATCTTTTTGATTGCCAAGTAGCCCATTTTGGGATAGGCTGCTACAAAGTTCTGAGCGGGTACGAGCAGGCGAGTTGATAGTTGCCATTCTCATCTGGATGCTTGTGATCTTTCACTGTCAGTTTGGGGGTGGGAATGGCATGGGATCGGAGGGATTGACTTATAAAGCCATACTCTCCAGATGATAGATGTGGTTTAATTTTCCGTAGTAGTTCAAGGCCTTGTACTTTGACCTGGTGAAGATCTGAGTGGGAAATAGGTTTGGCCCGTTGGCTGAGATGAATGTAGAACTGTTTGGATGTGAGACTGAAGGAGTTTGTTTTGTCGGTTGGAACTACTACAATATCTGGATTGTTTCTGAGAAGTTGTTGCATGTGGGTGGATGTCCTGGGTGGTTGGGTCAGAGGAAGTAATGTGTTGGTAGGCATAAACCATATTGAGCACTGCTCTATTAAGATCTTTGAGGAACAATTCCAAGTCATGGCTGCCTTGTGCTGTTCCACAACAGCGGGTGGGTTTGAGGTTGGTTTTGAGACAACTGGTAGTGCAGATATGATGGAAGAGCTAGAATTGGATGTGGTGGTTGAGTTGTCGTTGTTGTGTTTTTGTTGGTTGATGAATCTTCTTTGAGGCGGACTGTGGTAGCAAAACGTTTGAGCCTTTGAAGGCATCTGTAGCTACGACATCAAAAGGAGGGTGGGGGACAAACTTTTGGCTGGTTCCTGTCACTATTCGGTGTACCTCATCCGTAAGGGAGAGATTTGTAGGTTCTGGGTGTATTGGAGTAGTGACAATGTCGTTGTGCCCATCGCATTTCGTGAGGTGGTGTGGTGTGTGTGAAGCCAGGGTTGTTGTGTTCTTCGAAACTAAAGTCGGAGATTGTGGAAATGCTGAAGGTGTCTTGCAAAGAATGGTCGTCAGTCATCATTGTAGTGGAAACCAATGTGTCTAGGCTGCTCATGGAGATGTCATCCAAAGGACGATATCTGTTGGAGTAGGCACATAGATGGTTTGGCACGGAACTTCCCAATGATAGTTGGTTCGAGTTAGGGGATGCTCGAGTTGTCCTGCTACCCAATGGTAGTTGGTAGCTCGAAGAATTTTTTCGGTGACAGCAGGGTTCTGGTTGTGGCGAGCTCTGTTGGATCGTTGATTTATGATTGTGTTGAGTCTCTGCCAGTCAGGTGTTGTTGTTGTGTCTGGTTGTAGAGAGTCTGTGTGAAAGGTGGCCAGGGGAAAGGTATCAATACTAGAAGTATCCTCGAAGTTGAGTGGCGTCATGGTTTGGGTCGAGTTCTCATCCCAATTGTGGGGACTCCACGGTATCTCTGAAGATGGATTTCTGTACCAATGGTGTTGGGTAGTTGTTGGTGATGTTTGGACACCTATTGTATTTCCTGTGTGTGGGTGGAATGGCTTCATGGTCGTCGTTGGAGTGTTATTAATGTAATCGATTTTGGTGCGAAGGCTTGAATTTATCAATTGCAGCAAAAAGTGAGTATTCTAAATATAATTTACTGGGATTGACAGAGACAAGCCTTCAGGCTGGAGTTCTGGTGCCGAGTGGCACGAGGTCGCTTGAAGAATGCAATAGAGGGAGAATCTGCTTCCCAAAAGAGGTCTTCTCAGTGCTCGAAAAGCTAGCTGTGTCTTTTGAAACAGCTCGCACCCCACTTCTTTACTTCAACCAGTAAGGTTCGCTTTGCATAGCCACGCGACAAATCGCAACCCCTCGCTTCAAGCACTCATGGCTGCCTATCGTCCGGGAACTCCGGGTGGTGGTGAAACATCATGATACGGTAATGTTTGAAGTGTGAGCCGCTCTAATGATATTCTGCTCCCTAGCCATGAAGCTAGCTAGCTGGAGACTACGGATGGTGAAATGTGAAAACAGGCAAGTCGGCTACTTATTCTTTCGGTTTCCAGCCTTGGCCTTTTTGATAGCTCGTTTCTTGTCTTTCTTTTTGATTTTGGTGCGGCGCTTTTCGCTCTGAGCCTCCCTGACCGCCTTTTTGTTAGCTTTTCGCTCCTCCTTTTTGGCCTCTTTTTCGGCATGCAGTTCCTCCGCCGTCCGTGGAACCTTTTGGTATCGCTCAGAGCCATCGTCGTCGTCGTCGTCGGACTCGTCGTAGCTGTCGTCGTCGCTTTCGTCCTCCTCTTCCCCTTCAGCTGTTAGTGCGGTTGCCTCTTCTTTTGGCACGTGTGAATTGTCGGCTCCACTCTTCCCCCCTTCCTCGACACTGACTACCTCACCTTGCTGCGACTGTGTCTTTTTGGCCGTGATGGCATCCACAACGTTTTGGTTACCGGTCAAGGATGCCACGGCATTGGCATAGGTATCTTCCACGTCTCCCTTTTCGAGCTTGTGAACGTCATAATCGGCAACTTGATTCAAACTACGTGGCAAAAAGCTACTCATAAAGACGGCTTCATTCACGGCTTCTTGCTGATTGTAGGCTCGTCGCTCCTGTTCCGACGACTTGGATTGTTGCTTGGCATTCCGGTCGACCTCATTCATGATTTCGTCGAGACGAGCCATTTCGAACGCATCGACCGCCTCCCGGTCGGTCAATTTGTCGGCTGGTACCAAGGGCGCAATAATGAATTCGAAGAGTTGTCGTGTTGTCATGACATGGAGTCCTCCCGTTTTGGCAAAGTAGTCATTGACGTTGGAAGCATCTTTGCGCAAAAAGTCTAGAGCGGAGGGATGATCACTCTCTACGGACTGACTAACGTCAATGACATAAATCTCGGAATTGTGCCATAGCAGATTGTATTCACTGAGATCCCCATGCACTAGTTTGCATCGTTGGAACATGTGTCTCATGATAAAAATGGTTTGTACGTAAGCTTCTCGCAGTCGTTTTTCTTTGAGATTGGTATCCTTGAGACGTGGTGATGGCCAACCATTGTTTCCCAGGAATTCCATAATGAGGACATGCGATTTCAACAGAATGGGTGCCGGACAGGGGATGCCCGCGGCATAGATTCGACGATAATTTCTCATTTCCTTTTCGGCCCAAACCTTGACCATTTTGCGGGGATTGGATTTGCCTTCACATGTATTGATTGATTGTGATGTTACCCAAGATGTGAGGATGATAAATGTTCGGAAGCAAACTCAAAGATCACATGACACTTACAGTATCCCTTTCTCCATCGATGTTCTCCTGCCACATACTTGTCTCGATCCTTAAAGACGAGAATACTCGTCTTGTAGATTTTAATGGCAAATTCGGCAATATTATCACCACTACTGCTGCTGGCATCGGCAATGGTACTAATTCCCGCCTTTCCCGCCTTGGCATAGTAGACATTGGCTTCTTTTCCCGTACTCAAACATCCATCGATTTGCTCTAGAAATCCTCGACTGATCAATTTGAACAAAATGAGACGAGTGCGTGGATCGAGACATTGTTCCGTGGTAGCTCGATCGTTGCGGTCCGTGGTCAATGTCCGTTTGGTGTTTTCCAAGTGTTGCATTTTGGTCACGGCATTCTTGACGGAATGAGAGAGATTCATGCGTTTCGACAATGCCGCAGCCGAACTGGTGGTAGTAGTGGTCGCAGTATTATTATTGGCGGGACCATCTTGGTCGTCATAGCCGTAATATGCGTCATCTTCATCTTCAAAATCACTGTCATCATCTTCGTCATTGTATTCTTCATGGTCTGTCACGGCATTGGCGGCATCTTCAAATTGACTTGTCACGGCATTCAAGGAGTTTTTAATGGCATCCACAACTTGGGTAGCTTCATCCCTCACTTCATTATGTTCTGTGGAAAGACCGATTTTGACTTCTTCTTCTGCTTGTTCACTGACAACCGGTACCACTTTCATCGACGCCTTGGATTGGCCGTCAACAACGGCCTTGGTGGGGTCGCTGACGGCGTCCTCGCAATCGTCAAATTGGCCGGGGATAGCCGTCATGGTGTCGATAGATTCCCAGAATGAACTGATGAAAGTTGTGGGCGTTCTGAGAAAAAGTTCATGGGTGGAGGGAGATGAATGAAGGGGGAGAGGGACAGACGGATAATCCACGTCTGAAAGATTTAAGAGGTCGACATGCTAAATCTTCAATGAATGACGTGTCTTCAACTTCTTGCAACGACCTTCGACCTTTGACCTTTGACAATGAAGCTGTTGTTGTTGCAGAGGGGATGGCAAATAAAGTCCCATACAAAATAAGTATGGCCATGGAAGATAGCTACGACGTTCTAGTTATTGGAGGCGGGGTTGTTGGGCTGACCATTCTCCGGTTTGCTACTTTGAAAGGGTGGAAATGCGCCTTGGGTGAGTATCGATGCGAGAGAAGATAGAAACGCTGAGGTATACTTCTCTTCCAACCAATTCTCACTTGTTACTATTATCTTTGCGTCCTTCTATTAAATTTCCCTTGATTCTATAGTCGAAGCAGAGCCTGATTTGTTGACATGGGCCAGTGGATCCAACAGTGGCATTGCATGCACAGGAGTCGACGCTTCTCCCGGCACGCTGGAACGAGCCCTCATTCGAGACTCGGTCTCGCGTGTGCGACCCTTTTGTCGAGACCACAACATACCCACACGACCACGTGGGTCTCTCGTTTGCCAATGGCCGTGGGATAGTACCACGGAAGCTCTGCAGCACGTGCTACAAGAGTCTCATGATGCGGGAGATACCCATGCATCGATCTTGTCCGCCCAGCAAGTGCAAGCATTGGAACCCAACTTGTCCAAAAATTGCCGTGGAGCGGTTCATATTCCAGGGGAAATTGTAGTGGACCCATGGCTCTTTTCCATTGCCTATGCAGTACACGCACGCGAGAATGGAGCTACAATCTACACCCACTGGAAGTTTGACCCACAAAAGTCATTCTTTGATGGCAATACCTGGACGGCAGTCAGGGAATCATCATTATCAACTGATACCGGACCATCGGTCTTGAAAGCCAAGACAATTGTCAATGCCACGGGTTTGTGGAGCGATGAGATACAATCCAAACTACACCAAAACAATCCACAGCAATCTGCAGCCAGCAGCAGCAACAACCAATGGACTGCCAAACCAAGGAGGGGTCAGTACCTCTTGTTCCAATCGACACCCCGCACACGAATAGTGCACCCGATTCAACCCGTTCCGACGCAGCGAACCAAAGGCATCTTTGTCTTTAGCACCCTCTATGACCAGATTGTGGTGGGACCCACAGCGTTGGATCAAGAGTCCAAAACCAACCGCCAAGTCGACCCTACCGTGGCCAAGGAACTGGCTCGGTACGCTCAAAAGATTATTGCTGGTCTCGACCCACAAGCATCCTATGTGGGATCCTACGTGGGCATTAGACCTGGAACGGACAAGCGAGATTATCAAATCCACACATCTCCGGCTCTTCACTACGTGGCCGCCGCAGGCATTCGATCAACCGGGTTGACAGCCAGCTTGGGCATTGGGCGGCACATTTGCCATTTGTTGGGTTCCTTCCTGTCCGAGCCAACCACCGCCACCATTCGCACGACGCCCCTGCCAAATGTTGCCACCCTAGTCCAACAATACCATCAACGAGGTGATCAGACAGTTTGCATTCAAGGTCACATCTATAAAGTGACGCATCCATTGACAAAGTTTGGCTGGGAGAGGCAGTCGGGTTTGGCCGACACACACACAGCAGGCAACAATGTTATTATGGATGCCAGTAGCAAACTTTAGCTAGCCTACTATTGCAAACACAAGCAAGCTGAAGACACGGTTGATTGCATACTGTGTCGCCAAGCCTCCTTCCCAGGCGGTAGCACCGGTAGCTGATCGTCGTCATTCCGTGCGGGTCTATCTATCTGATGAGCAGCGGCACCCCAGGAGCAGCGGTTGAACTGCGTCTGCGCTCCTCCCACAGTCAACTAGAAGACGACATCAGGCCACAACAATCGTAGGTGAATTTCCCCATATTTACAAACTATCACAAACCTACAGCAGTATCAGAGTACGGCGGAGGATGGAACTACATCGCCCCTGGCTTTGCTGCTGCGGCGCCGTTTGGTACCTCCAGCAGCACTCGCTGAGCTTCCTCTTCGCTTCTTAGTAGTTTCAGCTTCTTCGACCTGCATCAGTTCAGGAGCACTCACAACAGCAGCTTCTCCCTCTGCGGGAGGAAGGCCGCCTTGAGGAGGATCTTCATGTACCGGTTCCGGTACCGGTTCCGGTACCGGCTCCGGTACCGGCACCCCAACGGCTTCAGCGACCATTCCAGTGTTGCCGCCGATGCTATTTCGGCGGGACCCTTTCCCGTCGTCGTCCGAGTCTTCCAAATCGGCGTCGTCGTGCGAGAATTCATCGCGCATATGACGGCGAAAGACGGCATAATGATGAATCAGCAGGTCCTTGTCTTCATCCGTGAGGTCGTTCGACACCAGGACAATGGAAGAATCGAAGAGGGGCATGTGGTCATTGCGAGAGATAAAGTTGCGAAAGAAGGTCTTGTCTTTGGAGTCAGGCGTGTACTCGAGACATTTCTGCGTAGACAAGTTGTACTTGCGTCGTAGAAATTTCTTCAATCGAAGCAAGAGAGCCAGGGATGATGCTTCCTTGCACAAGTCCGCAAAACCAAACCAATCAAACTTTTCCGAACGGCAGGGTACAGCGTCGTGGGACTTGGATGGAGCGTCCGCTCGAGCCGCTCGTTCCAATGCGTCTTCTCCGTCGTTCACTTCGTCCAGCTCGTCAGCTGATGCCAATCCATGTGGACGCAAGAATGCGGCGAGCCGGTCCTGCAACTGCGGTCCCTGAAGGGCAACCACAGAGCCGACGTAGTGCTGTATGAACAGAGGATCACCAGCCGAACTGTACGGCAGATACGCCAGCATCTGCGCTGCAAAAGAGAGTAGCGAAAGGTCGGCGCCGACGTCTGGCGGTTCCTGGATGGAGCTCCTCCGAGAGCGCGCTTTCTTTGCCGAGGATGTGGGTTCCTTGGCAACCGGTTCGACGCGCTCAAACATGGCGAGTAAATTCCGATACAATCCTTCCCTTTGCTTCCGACTGGAAAGGATGCACTCACGGAAGACATCATCAAAGACACACTCCATGTGTATACGTGCTCCCTTCAGTTTCTTGACCAAGGCTGAGGTTTCTTTGGTGGGATACACTGCCCGCTGGAAACGACAGGCTTGCTTGACACCCGCACACACTCTCTGGTTGACACGGGATAAACAAAACGTATTCAGTGAGAAGGCTTCCCAATCCGGAAAAGGGGAACTGACGAGGATGCAACACTCACCTGTCTCAACATATCCGGACGCTTTTCGCCCTCCACAGTCAAAAGCCTCAGTGCAAACTTTCGAACGACAGTATTCTCGACGTCTCCTTGCAGGGCCAAAAGATACGGAACCGCTTCGTTCGGATTCACCAGTCCTTGTCGCAGCAACTGCCCCAGGAGCTCCAATGATGCAATTCTCAGATTGGCTTCCTTCGACTGGGTCATTTCGAACAGACGCGTAGTTTGCTTCGTCAGGACTCCGCCCACAAGGGTCGAATCGCCATCTTGATCACCCGAAATCTTCTTGGACGTTGTGATGTTCTTTTTCGAATCCATCTTCTTCTTGGCTTCCCCGCTGTCAATGCGTTTTTCCTCAGACACGCTGATTTCCTTCCAGCATGTCAACGCCGTCAACTGCAGCTCCAGGGGTGATTCAGACGACATCAAGGCCTCAATCAGCCCGCACTGAGCGCAAGAAAGCATCAGACGCGGGTGCGCGATGAATACTCCACTAAGGGCTCGAAGTGCGGCGCAGCGAATACCGATATCAGACTTTTCCAGGTACTTCATGAACAGGCGGAAGCAAGCGATCGGAACGTTGTTCCAGTTCAACTCTGACGTTTCAAACAAATCAATTTCTTCCACCTCGTCAACATCGACTTCTTCATTCCACGTCGATGCTTCCACTGCAACTTCATGGTGATGACATAGCGATCCGAGCCCCGAAAGCAGGCGCAGCGTGTTGTTTTTCAATCCTGGGTTGGAGTAGTCGTCCCGATTTGCATGCTTGAACAAGAACGCGTAAAATGTGGTAGCAAGATTCAACAGTTTCTTGCCAAATATACTTCCTTCACCCGTCTCGTCAAAGTGGGCAATGGTACAAAGAGCTCGAATAGCTGAGTACAGAGCTCCGCTTCCGAACTTGTAGGTAATTTTCACAAGGTCACCCCCCAGCGACCCACTGCAGAGGTTTTGAATCTCGTTAGAATTCAAGATGGGAATTACGCGGAAGAGAATGTCACAAGCAGCGCTTGCAACCGCTGACTCGTCCGCCACCGACAAGCCGTTGTCGGCCTTTATGTATGGGAGAATGATACTCAAATGCTTCAAGACGGATTGAGCAGAGACGTCACTGAAGCATCCAATGGTTCTGATCGTCGCCACGAGTTCCCCTCCGATGGCATTCCCCAATTCTCCTCGGCGTTCCTCTGTCGTCAGCAGCAGCTCGAAAAGGGCACTAACGAGACTAAAGCACTGCTTCTCGGCAATTTTTTGCCGCTTCAAACGCTCCGCTGCCTTTTTCCCTTTATCGGAATCGTTCACATTGCAAAGAAGCTCGCGTAGAAAGTTCCCCAAATGCTCGTTAGTGCCGGCTGTCTTGACCGTTGCAACCATTTGTTCAGCAGCAAGTTCCGACCGCCGTTTCCCGACTTCTCGGTGCTTGCTTCTCGTGGCCCGGGCATCCATCGGCGGTGTGGGAGTCACGACCCCAGACGCAACTGATTGTGCCTCGATGCTAGACGGGGACTTGGAAGCAGCCAAGCTCGATGCGTTCCGTGAGGGGCTCACCGGCTGGAGCCCTGCCGGAATCGCAGCTTCGCCTTCGTCACTCAACCACAGATTCATGAACAGGCCGTGCAGGGCTTCCCGTACGCCTTCATCTTCTTTTGGATCCGAAGCTCGTTGCAAACATTTGTCACACGCATCCGACCGTCCGCGGTAATGTGGATTGGACACCAAGATATCTTGCAATATTTTCACAGTTCTCTTGCGAACACTCACACCAGGATCTAGCAGTCTTGGTATCAAGTGACTGTGGAAGGCATTTGCAATGGGTGGAGACTTGACGACATAGTTACCCACAAGGGACACAGCTGCCTCTCGGACTGAGATTGCCTCGTCCGACAGTCGTTCCGAAACTGCCTCCATCACCTTTGGCAAAAGCATCAGCTTTGAGTCTGCCTCCACAACCTGTAAATTTTCGTTGGAAAGGACCCACTTGTGAGCGTTGACATGAAAAGCAAGAAAACTCAAGTCCTAGCTAGTGAGGTTTTCAAAAACGTACCTTTTCGATTGCCTTGATGGACAATTTACGTAGCGAGGCGTGGGCCTTGTCATTCATCAGCTTCAACATCAATCCCATTAGATTGTTGAAAGACTTCATGAAATTTGAATAGGAAGCCGTCTGCGTCAAAAGTGCACGAGCACCTCCCTCAAACGTAAACCAGTGCTTGGGGTTGGAGTAGCATCTCTTTTTGTTCCACGTCTCCAATATCCCTCCAATTGCCTGCTTGTAGCTCTCCTTCTCGGCGGTTGTCTGGCACTGTTGGGACTTGCTGTGTAATTCATTTACCCACTTTGCCAAATGACAATGGCTTGCTACCCGATACCCTCGGTTGGTCTTGAGGTGTTTCTCCATCACCCGATTGATGATGAAACCAGTGTCTACAATAGAACGACTCGTCGTTTCCATTTCATTCTCCATGTTTGCTTGCAGGGAGCAGGCATCGCAAATCCATTCGTGTGGCAGAGCATCTCTATTCAAGCCGACACATTGGGCACTGAACCACACCGCCACAAAAAGCAAGAGAGGAATGAATGCGTATTATCGCCAGTTAGCTGCAACACACACACAAGGATGGAATGCTGGCTCTGTCTGTCTGTCCATACAGTACTTACTGATACCACAAGTGACAATTGTCACAATCGACCATGAGTGCATCCGTGAAATTGTTGCGCTTGCAATAGCATCGCAATTGTCGGTTTTCTTCCGACACAATTTCGACCGTCTTGTGCAACTCTCGATCTCGCTGAAACGCCAAAATCTTGGCATATGCCGCACAGATGCGTCCCAGAATATCAAAGGCCGTATTGGCATATGTCGTTTCCACTACCGTGTCGGATGCACTCGATGTTCGACTGGCCGTGATGATATCCTTGGAGAGTCCCAGCGTACACGCAAAGAGGACCATTTGCGCCGCTCCGTATTCGGGAATCATCATGACGAGTAGCAAATCGTCTACTAAATTGCCGAGAATGGGTCGAAATTCCGAGGCACCTCCATCTTCTCCCTTTCGCGAACAGCGCTGTAGCATGTGAATTGCAAATGTTTCGGCCACGGATTGACAGCCGCGGAGTCCCGACAGAAGTTGCTCGTCATTGTTGTCGACATCAAATGTGGGTCGCACGACACAGCATTGGACCAGTGAGAGTAGCATGGCTGTGATCATTTGAATGTAATGTGGTTCTTGTCCGTTGGTCAACATGGATGAATAGAGCGACGTCATGAGTGATTGGGAGCTGTGTTTGGAGGGACAGGACGAATACTGGACGAGACAGGCTCGCATGGTTCGTTTGGAAGATGGTAGTCGCAGCATGAGAGGGAATAGATCTTCAATGATACTGGATCGATGCGCTGGGAATTTGGCAAATACGGCCGTGACGAGTCCAATGGTTGCGTGCTGGAGTCGATTGGCTGGATTTTGTGTCGATTGTGCGGCTTCAATTTCGAGCGCATCCAAAGCCCCTGACGTGAGTGTGAGTATGAGCTGATCATCTAAAAACAGAGTTCGAATGGCATCTTCAATGCGGCTCATGAGTGTGATTTGCAGCGGAATCATGAGTGCGATTGGTTTGTATACTTTTCGTAGTTCTTTCATGAGCATATTGGATTCTCCGCCGTCGGTCGCGCGTCGCTTTTTCTTGCGTGCCGATGCTCCTAGACCTTTCTTTTCGTCCATTTCCTGTGCTGCCAGTCGGTGACCCGTATTGTTGAGGGCTGGGATGAGATTCTTGGCGAGATTGTGTCGGAGCAACGTAAAGGCGGCTTCAATGGCATCTTCCGAGACGACACTTGCGTCAATGCCAGGACTGGTCACCACAAAGAGGAGAATGCCCGCCGCTTCCAATCCCAATTTCAGAGCTGCCACTCGTTCGCTTCCGGTGGATCCAGGTCGTAGCCACTGTAATATTATGTCGTCATTGGTAAGAACAAGCACAAAATTCGTGGTGAGAAAATGTAATGGTGTAAAAATGACGCACAGAATATCAGAGAATTACATTATTCTCTCTTACCTGCTCCATTCTCATTTCTCGTTTGGAAATGACAGCGCTCGCCTCGGCCACCAAATCGACATTGACGGCCAAATTGACGTGTTTTTCCAGTAATTCCGTGAGCGTCGTCAAGAGATCCACTTCCACGGCGGCAAATCCTTCTACCGATTTTCGTTTATTGCTGACTTGGGTACAGAGTAAACTCAAAATGGTCAATTCGCGTTCCAAAAATGGTCCCACATGGGTTTGTTGTTGCTGCTGCGTTTGATGGTGCATACAAGCCGAAGGAGACATGGCCAAAATACGACGATTCCCTTCGGCCGACAAAATCCGTTCAATCGCATTCACCAACTCGTCGTCATCGGTATTGTTGTTGTTGTTGTTGTTATTGTTGTTATTATTGTTATTATTATTATTCACATCATTGGAATTAGAATTGTTGTCGTGAGCAGCAGCATTGGTCAACATGGGAGATGTGGCAAATTGTTGGGGATGCTGCTGCTGGGGAGGAGGGAGCCTCGCATACGCAGCGGGGGACATCCATCCTGTGGCCATGGTCAGTACGGTCCAGTGATACTCAGCAAATGGAATAATCGAATTGTTATAGTCCTGGAGGTTTTCTGATTGCTTCTGTGCTTGATGGCTGCTGCTCGATCTTTTGGGTTTCAGATTTTGAGATTGTTCGTCGTCGAGGCACTGCTGTTGGCGGCAATTTCTGCGCATCGGAAAAGGATCAGGAGGTGAGGTATTTCAAACAGCAGAATTTTCCTTCCGACATTGTCACCCAACGAACAACGATTCCGATTCGATTCGAATGATTCAATCGAATCAATCGAATCAATCAGATTGACACGACTTCCTGTGATCATGGAGCAAGGGTTCAAGCAAGGGTGTACACTGTACCAGTATGGTACCGCCTGTGTGGCAAGTGTGCTGGAACAATCTTGGGGTCCGTGATTAAGCGAGGTTGCCAAGTTGGCCTGCGAGAACAGCAGCTCAGCTACGCTGTGCTGAGACGGAGGGAGCTAGCTAAGCCGGCCCTGGCTACTGGTAGTAGTGGACTGCAATTGCTTACTTTTGATTGTGCACTCGTGCAGCCATCCTCTTGATCTTCTCCAACACGCCCAAGGTTGAAATCAGGCATCAACAAGTCCTACCTTGTGGTTCAATCGTCACAGTTGACGCTTGCAAGTTGCGGTCTTACAGTGCTTGTGACAGAAGGCAAGTCATGTTTCTAGCTCAAGATACAAGATCAGATCATTCAGCACAGAAGACAAGTGGAATAAGATAAATAGATTACTTTAAAGCTTTACATGAATGAAATGAAAATCCTCCCTACAAACTTGTGCTCTTTGGGGGGCGAAGCAACTGGTGGGTGACCGCTGCACTGTCCTCGTCCTCGTGTCCTCAACCTCTACCAAGGGCAAACTAATGATGATCATACCGAATCGTCATCGTCCCCTTCGACATTATGGCTCGAAGCAGAGGCTTCTTCGAGCTTGGCTGCGGCAGCCTTCTGGGCAGCCTCCTTGGCCTTCTTGACTCCCTTGATCTTGTTGCGCTTCATGGACAGCGTCGCTTGCTGTTGACCGTACAGGAACATGGGATGGCTGTAGGCGCCCTTGTCAACGCCTTCCGTGATCCTCTGAAAGTCATAGAGGTTCAGCTGCCTCTGGAAGCTGCTGAAACGGCCCATCTTGAAGTACTTGGGCATCACATGGCGGACGAACTCGCGGGGCTTGTGAATGGCAAAGGTCCTTCCGTGTGGAAGGAAGGAGGCAATCTCACTCCCTCCAGGGATCTTCTCAAGATCGGAAGAGCATCTTGATGGAGGGCTTGACGGGGAAGTGCCTGTTGTGTCCTGCTGCGGAGCACTTTTCAGGGCTCAAACTTTGGTTTTGGAGGTGCCTGCTTGGGTTGTGCAAGGGGAGGATTGAGTTGTGCAAGGGGAGGGCTGAGTTGTGCAAGGGGGGAGTTGGGGGTAGTCAGAACCGGTGCTTGGGCTTGCAACGGAGTGATGGGGGTTCGTGCCGCGGCTGGAAGGATGGCAGGGGCGGTGATCTGCGCTCTCATGGTGGCCTCCAGATTCAGACTCTGTTTGGCCTGTTCAATGAGCCTCCTGCCCGCTGCAAGCTTCACAAGTGCCGCTCTCTGCTGTCCCAGAATACTATCAAGGGATCTCTGCTGCCGCAGAGGCTCCAAAGTGCCCATGCGAGAGGCAACATACGCCTTCTCTTCGACACTCAGGGACGATGCCAATAAGGCACTCGCAGCCAGATTGGTTGCGTGAATGCTGGACAGCAACGAAGGGTTCGCGACAGGTGCTGCGCCGCCAGATCCTGCAGCACGAAGAAGATCTGCCACTGTGGCACGCCCTTCCCTGATCCCGACGCCGCTCATGGTGGCCTTATCTGTTGCCTGAAAGGAAAACATGGTTACAGTATCCGATGACTTGAAATAAGAGTGAGTGTGTTGACTGATGGGCTCGAAGATCGAGTGCTTTGAACGCAAACGCAAAGAGGTGTGTTTTTAGAGGAGGAGGCGGGTTTTTTATGAGAGGAAGTCTTGCGTCAGCTTGTCCCAAATAGTTGGACAACCGGTATTCCCAAAATCAAAAAGCTTTAGACAGTTGAGATCAGTCGCCTGGGAATTCGGTAGAGATTCGGGTTTCAGGATAAGCGGTTCTCAAAGCAATGCAACCCACGAGATGAGGAGCAGACGGTAAGTAAACAGATCCTGATGCATTCGTGGCGTACCCATTGACATCGCTAAAGGTTGCTTCCAAACGAGAAGTCCGAAGGGTTCGTATTATGAACCGAACTTTGATAGTATCAATGAGGTTCATTAGTTGTACCAAATCATTGGCATTGTTGATGTTTATTATTAGAGACGGAACGGTTTGGTGGATTTTGGTGTGCCACCACGGTCTCAAATTTACACAATCGGTAAAGGGTACATGTACAACACAATGAGATTCATTGAGGTTTGTTACTTGAATTTAGAAAGAAGAGACCCGAGTACCGGCTAGGACAAGCCATTAAGTAAAATCAAATGGGTTCGTATTTTAACCTTTCTTTTCCGAATACCGGAGGTAAAATCATTAAATAAAATCCGAACTCTGTTGTCCTATGCGGCACTCTAGTTCTGAGCCGAGTCATGGGTCATGCGGCACTCTCATTCTGTTCGCGGTACGTCAGGATGTCGTCACCTCAGCTTGTCAAATATCTCCAATCCCGATGGACATGGTGACGGTGGACAATGTGCAGGATCCTTTGCCATGGTGCCATGAGAATTACCAAATGTTAGACAGCTCCTGTGGCCCATCTATTTGGAAAATGGGTTGACGTC